AGCTATATCCACCCTGAAGGTTGATCTTGGACAATATCTGATGATCGACTCTTTTAAATGAAACCAGAGAGCGTTGACAGAGAGGAGAAGGTAGAAATGACTCAGCCTGGAACTGAAAATATGGATTGAGGACCTCAGTTTAGCGTTTGTCGTGCTAGTGCTGAGCTAATACATAAGGCAATATAGCGTTGGCACTAGCGCAAAGGCTAACAGCTCTGTTGTCCTCCATCCATATTTTCAGTTACAGGCTGAGTCATTTCTACCTTCTCCTCTCTGTCAACGCTCTCTGGTTTCATTTAAAAGAGTCGATCATCAGATATTGTCCAAGATCAACCTTCAGGGTGGATATAGCTCGCTAGCAGCCTCACACCGAGGACCTGTTGACGTCATCATTTGATTTTGGATACTATTACCTCTGAATTCATTAAAATTAAAAGCTGGTTTGATAGGAAGGAACATGTTATCACTCAATTTGAGCAAGACAAAATGCATGCTATTCACTCACAACAAACAAATTACATAACATTAGAGGGTGTTAACATAGAAAGAGTGCATTAAATTAAATTTTTAGGGGTAATAATAGACGACAGAATTTGCTGGAAACCACACATTAAAAACATCTCAATTATGGCCAAAGCAAGATATTATCTGAACAGTAAGTCACTCCACATCTTGTATTGTTCAATGATTCAGCCACATTTAAATTTTTGTGCAGAAGTGTTGGGCAATAAAATCAACATTACAGCCACTAATATTATTGCAAAAAAGAGCTGTCAGAGTAATACACAATACTAGTTTTCTTACACACACAAATCCCTTTTTTGTTCAGGCTAATTTATTGAAATTGCTGGACAATGTGAAATATTAAACTTTACTATTTATATATAAAATACGTTGTTAACTAAACATCTTCAGGTAATGTTTTATGAAATGGAGGGTGAGTACAACTTAAGAAGAACACTGGATTTAAAATATGTAGTACTCCTTAAGGCTCTGGATGTTGTGGGGTTGCATTGGTTGACGCGATTCTACAATATCGCGTGGACATCGGGGGCAGTTCCCCTGGACTGGCAGACCGGGGTGGTGGTCCCCCTATTTAAAAAGGGGGGCCGCAGAGTGTGTTCCAACTACAGGAGCATCACACATCCGAGCCTCCCTGGTAAGGTCTATTCGGGGGTTCTGGAGAGGAGGGTCCGTCGGATAGTCGAATCTCAGATCCAGGAAGAGCAGTGTGGTTTTCGTCCTGGTCGTGGAACACTGGACCAGCTCTACACCCTCAGCCGGGTCCTGGAGGGTGCATGGGAGTTCGCCCAACCAGTCTACATGTGTTTTGTGGACATGGAGAAGGTGTTCGACAGTGTCCCTCTGGGACTCCAGTGGGGGGTGCTCTGGGAGTATGGGGTACCAGGCTCATTGATATGGGCTGTTAGGTCCCTGTACAGCCGGTGCCAGAGCTTGGTCCACATTGCCGGTACCAAGCCGGACTCATTTCCGGTGAGAGTTGGACTCCGCCAAGGTTGCCCTTTGTCACCGATTCTGGTCATAACTTTTATGGACAGAATTTCTAGGCGCAGCCAAGATGTTGAGGGGATCCTTTTTGGTGACCTTAGGATCACATCTCTGCTTTTTGCGGATGATGTGGTCCTATTGGCTTCATCAGATCGTGATCTCCAGCTCTCGCTGGAGCGGTTCGCAGCCGAGTGTGAAGCGGCCAGGATGAGGATCAGTGCCTCCAAATCCGAGACCATGGTCTTGAGCCGGAAAACGGTAGTGTGCCGCCTCCGGGTTGGGGAGGAGGTCCTGCCCCAAGTGGAGGAGTTTAAGTATCTCGGGGTCTTGTTCACAAATGAGGGAAGAATGGGGCGGGAGATCAACAGGTGAATTGGTGCTGTGTCTGCAGTGATGCGGGCGTTGTACTGGTCTGTCGTGGTGGAGCGAGAGCTGAGTCAGAAGGCAAAGCTCTCGTTTTACTTGTCGGTTTATGTTCCTACCCTCATCTATGGTCACGAGCTTTGAGTAGTGACCGAAAGAACAAGATCGCGGATACAAGTGGTCAAATGAGTTTCCTCCACAGGGTGTCTGGGCTCTCCCTTAGAGATAGGGTGAGAAGCTCGGTCTTCCAGGAGGGACTCTGAGTACAGCTGCTGCTCTTCCACGTCGAGAGGAGCCAGTTGAGGTGGTTCATCTGGTTAGGATGCCTCCTGGACGCCTCCCCGGTGAGGTGTTCCGGGCACGTCCCACTGGGAGGAGACCCAGAGGAAGACCCAGGACACGCTGGAGGGACTATGTTTCTCGGCTGGCCTGGGAACACCTTGGGATTCCCCCGGACGAGCTGGTCAAAGTGGCTGGGGAGAGGGAAGTCTGGGTCTCTCTGCTTAGGCTGCTGCCCTCGAGACCCGATCCCGGATAAGTGGCAGAAAACGGACAGACGGATGGTAGTACCCAAACAATTATGAAAAGATTTTGTCTCACTGTAACTGGGGTCAAACTATGGAATGAACTAAATATCGAACTAAAACAATGTCCAGGCATAAACTAGTTTAAAAATAAATATAAAGCTACTTTGCTTACATTGTACAGGAAAGAAAGGAATTAAAACAAATATGAGGTTTTTGTTCCTTCCTTTCTTCTGTTTTACTAATATCATTATTGATAGTGTTTATTGTTATCTTACTATCATTATAATAATTATTTGTTGTTGTTGTTGTATTTTCTTATTTTCTCAGTGGTCATTTAAGACTGTCATCGTTATTATTATTTTTATTATTATTATATGAATTCATAGATTTTCTAGTTATGAGAGTTGGTTTATAATCATTTTGTCTGTGTAGTATAATTTGTTTGTTGGCTCATTGGCACAGTATGTTGAACAGTCACATGAATACCATAACATGGTTTTAATTGCAAATTTTGCTAATTAGTGCATCTGTAAGTAAAACATTTCATTAAATTGAGGTAAGGGGTAGGATTAAATAAGTGTTCACGTCTTCCTACTCCCTTTCAAACAGAAAAGTAGTAGTAACTGGGTTCTTGGTTATGTATGCATGTTTTCTTTGTCCTACTGATTGCTTGTTTTCTTATTTTTAAAAATATGTTTGAAATACATTTTTAAATAAAAAAATCAAAAAAATTAAAGATCATTTACCCATTATGCTTTGCGAGTGAATAAAATGGTGGTCCGTGTTAAAATATATATTTTTAAATTTACAAAACTGAACAGCCTGCAGTATTTTTACAGTCTTTATTTTACAGTTAAAATATATGTTTACTAAATAAAGTTTAATGTTACAACTAATCATGGATCCCTTTAGGAATAAATATTTAGCTAAAACAGCATGGGTCAAACAAATACTAAAAATGCAAGAATGTTCCTGCAGCCCTTGGCCTGAGAATGTTTTGCTGCCTAGCATCTCTCCTACCCTGTCTGTGAGACTCAGGTGTTGGACGGGTGGCTGGTCACGGTCCACCTGGCCAGGAGACGGCTGCTCCCTCAGGGCCCCGCTCTCCTCATTGTTGCTGACCTCAGACCCGTCACCTGGGGTTAGTAAGCAGATCGCATGTAGGAGGGTGTCAGACTTGGCAAGAAATCAAGCAGTGGGATAATTATTACACCCAGCGGAGACAGTCAGTACTTTGTACAGGTATTACAGGAAAAGCTCTTTCTCTTACCAGCTGACTGTTCAGCCAGGTTGTGGGTGATGATCTGGCAAATACGAGTGGTTAAAGGTACAGGTGTGTCTCCGGATGCTTGCAAGTCACCTTGAAGAGTCAAACTCCTGTCTTCTGAGCTGCCATGTGAGTGCAGCAGAGACTCCTCCAGCTTCTGCAATCACACCAATCAACCCATGGCCACTGAGACAAACACCTACAGCTCAACTCATAGAGGCTGTAATGCTATACTATAAACAGTCAGATTGAACACGAGACGAGCTTCCTTTTTGATAAATACTTTACAAATCAGGTTGGCACGGGCTATCCCTTTAGACCAGGGCTACTCAACTAAACTGCTCTGGGGGCCACAGTTACTGCAGGTCAACAGCTCAGGGGCCGAACGTCCAGCAAATGAAGTCTTTATGTAAATAAACCAAGTATTACAAAGATCTGTTACCTATGAAATAGTTTATTTTAATGCATTTAATCATGAATACAACATGCAGAACCTTATAAAAGTAGTGATAATTAAACAACAAAAACAAAAATAAAACATTCTGCCTCTTATTTAACACAAATAATATTTTGACATCTCTGACTTGCTTTGGCAAGTCAGAGATGTTTTTAATCAATTTTAATTTCACTTTCACAGTTTTGTCTTCAACTGCTTATAAATGTAACTGTCTTGAAATGTGTTTTTTTTTTACCAGCTTGTAGCCAAGATTCTGATGTTTCTGCAGACACCAAACAAGTCTATTTCTAACTAAAACAACTTAAAGTAATTAAAGTAGAAAACCAGGGGTTTGGGCTTAAAAGATGAACGAACCAATTGTCGGGCCGAACTTTGGTCACTCGGGCCGGATGTGGCCCGCAGGCCACCACTTGAATAGTCCTGCTTTAGGGCGTCCCACTGAGACTGCAATTATTCAGACACAGAGACTAGTTAATGATAACGAAATTGAGAAATAATAATGGGAAAATGAGAAAATTTTCCATAGTCTCACTGAATTCTCAATGCTAGTAACCAAGTGATCGGCGAGTTTTGAGGCCACATTTTAAACAGTCAATTTTTAAAAATCATGATCTTTATTATTGTTTATCATGTGGGCTTTAGACCGTTTGCCTCAGATGCTGCTGTGAAGGAGTCAAATGACAGTTCATGAGTTGACTATTTTGAGAGAAAATTTGTGCCGTGTGTTTTTTCAACATGTTTAAAACTCAAGCAACACGACCCATGTGAGGAAACAGAGAGCCTTATTGACATTCAGGAGACTCCCTCATGAAGGTCGTTTGCCAACTAGTTGCAGATCAGTGAGGTACTATCTTCAGTTATGCTGCTATTGGCTTCGACTGCAGAGGATGTACTGTTCCCATTTCCTCATTCAACTGTGTTTACTCTCTACGTACAGGTTTGCAATTATTGCTGCCACTAAGTTTGTGTTTTCTGTTATTTCCATAAGAATTACACCTGGCCTGGTGTTCTGTGTTTGTCTGTGTCCCTTCCCTGTCCTCTCAACTCTCAGCTGGGTGAGGCAGACGGTTCATCATCCTGGTTCTGCTGGAGGTTTCCTCCTGGTGCCCACCTCTCTGTGTGCTCAGTTGGGGATGGAATTGAAATGAAGATTCTAGGCCAGAGTTGCCTAAAGTGGGGCCCCAAAGTTGGCCCGCCAAGCCATTTGATTTGACCCACACGCAGTTGTCCTGGTTATTAGATTGTGATCTCCTGTCATGTGTAGAAATATTTCCACTTTTCAACCATTGGTCCAACTGCAGGTACAAGGCGCTGAAGTCAGATCTTAACTCATGGTACTCACTTTATCTTTGAATTATGTTACAATTAAATATAAAATACAAGTAACTACAAGAGACATTTAGATTAAAGCACACCTTGTATAGATTTGCACACCTTATAAGACCATAAATACTTAAATTTTAATTTATGAAAAGTCCCATGAGCCTTTGCTGCTCAAGTATACCTTGAATTTTCTCCACGTTCATGGGCTGAAAAAAAAGAATATCTGCAACCGCACTGGCTGCTAGCTTATTCATAAAAATAAAACAATTTTACTTAAGAAGTATTTGCATCGCATGTATTACATTACTGCATTACCTCAGATTGATTTTAATTTTGGCCCTCTGAGGGAAAATGTTTGGGCACCCATAGGCAGTCTGATTGTTAGAAAACTTTTTAGTAATTTCTTTTTCATGACAATGAATTGATTGTTTATTATGTCTGGATTTTAATCTGGATCAGTTTTGACTAAAATGAGGTTTAAGCACTAAAAAGGTGCTAAATTTGATTGGTGAGTGTGAGGTAAAGTTTTATGATGGATTAATTTGGAAAACCGGAAACCTGTGAAAAAAGTAGTTATACTGACCTGGATAATAACCAGAACCAACTGGAGAAAAAATATGTAATTTAGTTGTTTACAAGCTGTCAGATGACTAGTACCCTGAAGTTACATTTGCTGTGAACAAGTGCAAAAATCAAATGAACTATAATGTTTATTCAGACTACATTAGAAAACCTGTTCTTAATTAAATTCATAAAAATAAACAGGTTGAATTTACAGTATTATGTTAGTTCAAAATTAAGATGAAACAAATAACAGAAGTATAACTTGTTTAAACTTTTTTCAGTTTTTATGTGATGTAACACTGTCTGTTTTGATTAGTTTATTTCATTTTTCTTTAAAGCTAATTTCAAATCAAAGTACAGTAGTATTGTAGAGTACAAGAAAAAACACATAAAACCCTTCATAAACTCGACTTTGTAATCTTTTTGTTTATTGATTAATTGCTAGCACCCGTGCTTGCTCGACACAGACTGAGCCTTGATACAGATTTTATTTATTTATTTATTTATTTATTTTTTAATAAAATTGTGTAAAGTCTTGTTACCAACCTGAATCACGGCCTCTAGTCTCGGTGAATGCCCTTCTTGCGCTTCCTGAGAGCTCATTGCAAACCTTCCCAGCTTTTTCTTTATTTTTAACCAGATGAAAATGTTTACAGCAACGTTAGCTTTAAACTAGCTTAGTGCTAACATCTCGAGAGAGATCCCAGGAAGCCATGCGCGTGTCACTTAAAAAAAACAATAAATTAATAAATAAAATCAAAACAAGTATGTCGAGTTAAGATATACAGTACGCAAAGAAATGTCCATAAAAAGACTTTGGAGAAAAAAAACTACTGGAAAAAGTTGAACTTTTAAAACCACTGCTGCCGTGTTCAGCTATAGATATGCGGTCGTCATGGTGAGCTGGGCGGCTGGCCTGTTGTCATGGTGAGCAGGGCGGCTGGCCTGTTGCCATGGTGAAGGACGCTGGTTCAGTGTTTTAATGAAGGACGGGGTTAATGAATACTCACTGCAGTTAAACCAGAGTCTTCAGTGTGAAAGCTTCACATCATTTTTTCTTCTGTACGGTTTTCAGATTCTAACTGGTTTCACATTTTTGTGCTTTTTATTTCAACAATTCATCAAAACGTTCAGCTCATTCATGTGTGACTTTTGGTGTTTCAGCTATTTATCTGTTTGCAGATATTTCATATTTTTAACCACTTTTTTTGCCACTGAAAATGAATGGAGCTTTTTTCAATATCAGCTTTTAAAATGTTTGTAAATCTTTACAGCACCTTACACATTTTGTTCTGGTTATGCTCTTTTTCACGTTCTTGTGCTAATTGTAGCAATTTTTATACTAATTTTAGCTATTTTATGCTACTTTGGCTAAAGATCTGCTTCTTTCTGATATTCCGATTTTCTATTTTTTTTGTGCTTTTTTTCTGCTACTTTGTGCTTCTTATGATTTCTGCTTTATTCAGCCATTTGCTGCAATTTTAGCCAGTGTTCAGCTGTTATTAGCTACATTTATTTTTTAGGGTAATTACACATTTTTTGTAGCAATTACAACTTTTTTCCAGCTAAGGTTAGCAAACCTATGGTCCTTATGATTCCATAAACAAATTAAAAACATTCCAGATAGTTGTTTTACTGAAAATTTCAGTTGTTTTAGCAATTTTCCTAAAAATTCTTCCTTTTTGCACTTCAACACATTTTTTCTGCTAATTGAAATATTTTTTGCAACCCTGTCTCTGAGTTATCATTTCACATTGTGGCTGCTACATTTATCTTTTATTTGATGCAAATTTTAGCCCTTTAAAAAAATGTATTTATTAATTTATTTTTGCTATTTTAGCTAAAGTAATTCTTCTTTCTCATATTCGTCTGCTTTTTCTACATTTTTTTCTTTTTGTGCTACTTTTTGCTATTCATGCTTCTTACAGATGTGTTGTGCTATGTTCAGCTATTTGCTGCAATTTTAGCTAATGTTCAGCTGTTATTAGCTAAAAAGAACTTTTTAGGCTAAATACACTTTTTTTGCTATTACAACTTTTTTCAGCTAAGTTCAGCAAACTTGTCTCCTTATGCTAATTTAACAATTCCCAGCTACTTTTTAGCTGTTTTTTATTTCAGGTGTTTGTTATTTTATTACTAATTATCACTTTAATGTAATTTTATGACATTTTTTCTTTTTTAGCTATTTTTAACTATAACTATTTTAACTGGGTGCTAAATTCAAACTGTGGCTGCTTCCTTTTGCTTATTTTATGCTAATTTTAGCTATTTTATACTAGTTATAGATCTGCTTCTTTCTGTTATTTTTCTGCCTTTTTCTACCTTTTCTGCTACTTAATGCTATTTATGCTTCTCACAGATGTTTTAAGCTATAGCTCTATTTTAGCTGTTTTCTGTTTTCAACTAGATTTGTGCTCCTTTTTACTGTTTTTCTGCAAAGTTAGGCTTCCAATTGCTTCTTTCAGATTTTTGAAGTGAGCTCACATTAACACTTTCCTACTAAATATTTTCAGCTCAATTTCAGCAGCTTTCAGCTCAAGTTTTAGCAAGAAGTATTCACACTAGCATTTTCGTAGGAAATGCAGTTTCCCTAATAACATTTACATCCAGAAAACTGCCTTTCAAAAATGACTTTTATTTAACAAGTAGTAGAAGACAGCTAAAACTTATATTTATTAATTATTCTTACAACAGGTGCTCTGAGAGTTTCTGTTTTTTTATGATACACAAGCACTATATCACAACATAAATACATTCATATAATACAAGGGATAAACAAACACCTGCTGAGCAGTACATGTTATTAATGCCTGAGGATCATGTAACGCACTATTCTGAGGCACAATAACATCCTGGGATAAACACTTTATTTATGCTTTCAGATGTAAGACAGATATGTCTCTGAACTCTCTGACCCAAACATTTAATCAGTGTCAGGACAACATGTCCTTATGTTGCGTCACTTGGCAAAAGCTCCGGCCACTGGGATGGATCTAAAAAGATGGTACTAACTCCGCTGTAGAACCACAGTCTTGGAAGGAAGCACTCCACCTCCCAAGTGTTTGTTGCTCGATTGTAAACCTCCACCTCCACCCCGTAGTCGCCCTCCATTCCTTTCCAGTGGCCGCCGGTGACAAAAAGCTTTCCATCCACAGTTACCAGGCCACCATTCTCGTGGAGCATGTGAAGGGGCTGGACCTGAGGGGAGGAAACGGATGTGAAAAGATAATCGGATTCTTCTCTTGCTGTAAAAGTCACATTCCTACAAAAAAGCGAGTCAATATGTTTGCAGCTACCAAACATGTCTAAACCAACCTTCTGCCACATGTTTGCCTCTGGATCATATGAATAGACCTTCTTAGTGTTGTCAGCCACGAGGTATATGTTTCCGTCCTCGCAGACAGAGCGAGGAGAGGACAAATACTTAGGGATGAAGGGTGACCATACGCTGATCCAGGAATCTGTAGTAACGAAATACAGATCAATGACATTTCTACATAAGATATCAAAATTAGATTCTGTAAGTGGAAAAAAATGGTGTGTAACTGTTGTGATATAAAATGAAAAATAAAAATTTTTAATAAAGATATTAAAATTTGAAGGGAACATGTGCAAAATCCACTTTTTAGCCCTTTGTTGTGTACTTGGAGTCTCAGAAAAGTTGGATTTAATCTCTCCCAATGCTGCGCAGATATCTTTATATTCTGTTTGGGTCATGTTTTTCAGTCTTTTCAGTTTTCTCTATTTCCTATAATATATTTTGAACCATAACGTCACAGTATTTGCGGCAGAACTGCTGAACAAGGTCATGGACTTCCTGCTAACTAATTTTGCAAATCCACCTTTTTCATTTCTCTCAGCGATTTTGTGGTCCATTTTCCAAATGCATGGACGCTATCGTAAAACTCCATATTGCAGATACTTGGTATGGATGGAGAGGGTGTAAATACGGTAATAACGCACCATGTGATGCATTCATTTGAATCCACGGTTCTGCAGGTTGGTGGTCTTCATTCTCTTCTGGTTCTGGGTCAGACTCTGATGCCAACATGTAAGACTGGATGGACCAGTCTTCTGTTGTTGACATATTTTAATTAATTTGTAAATAAAATGTTTCTGCACTTAAATAACTGTATCTCTGCTATCAAAATAATGGCTGAATGGGGCAGAGTGGACAATGATCATTGGGAGTTAAACTGGAGGGGGGTGGGGCATGAAGCGCCTCATTTGCACTTAAAGAGACAGCACCAAAATGAGTTGATCTGAGACAACTCAGGGTTTAAAGAGGGGCTTGTGGATCTGCAATAAGTATGAATTCAGAGCAATGAATTGCAGTCCCACTTTATAAAACCTCAACTGAATGATTTAAATGCAAAAAGGAAGAATCTAAAAGCAGCAGGTGTCCACTTCAACCAATAACATTCATTTGTTTGTATTTTTTCATAAAAATTTTGTCAAAGTTTAGATTTCTAAAGTTAATTGTGAGAATTAGAGTTATATCTAACGGTGATGTGTTATTCAGTGCATCCTTACCTATAACAGGGTTGTAGCACTGCATGGTCAGAGCGTTATACTTCACTGCACATGAACCAATCACATAGAGCTTCCCATGACAAGCTGTGGCCGTAAAGTTAGTCACATATTTTAGGGCAGGACACGTCAAAGTCCAGGTGTTATTGTAGGGATCATAATGCTCAACCTCGACTCTGTCCGATGTTGTACCTAAAGTGGAAACAATCAAATCAATTTATTTAGATTTATTTGGAGCTCTAGCTTCACCACAAGGTGAAATGTTGTCATTTCTTAGACATAATCATGTCAGTGGCACAGAGAAACGTCTGGAATTTTAATTCTCCACAGCTTTACAAGTTTGAGGTATCACATGATATGTTTATATATATATATATATATATATACTGTATATATATATATATTTACCTCCGATGACATAAATCTCTCCATTGAGGGTTGCTGTTGTGTGGTTTGTCCGAGGCCGGAGCATGGGTGCCACAGTAACCCATCTCCCCTCTCTGGTGATGTACTTCCAGGTCTCTGTGGTTGACCAGGTGTTGGTATTTGCACCGCGTGAGCCGCCTGTCAGACAGAAAAGAGCACTTCAGAAGTTTGAAAACATTTTGAATTCCTTGCAAGAAAAACTAAATGGTAAAACCTTTAGTTTACATTTTTGCCTTTGAAGGAATAGTTTGAACATTTTGAAGTGGTTTCTTATGAACAATATTTTTCTATAGTTCAGTTTGGATAAATAGTTTAATTCGGAGAAGACTGACAAGCTCACCACTCTTCAGAAAACTAAAGTGGATTGTAGTCACCTTAAACAATTCAAATTCCCCAAAATTTTATAGCAGTTAAATGTAAACGCTATTTAGAAACCTTTAAAATGCAACCAGTGTGACAATTTACAGTTATTCGCATAGAAATCTGGGCTTGTATTCAAGTTCAAAGAGCAGCAACATTTCCTGCAGTGGCGACAAGGTAGAGCAGTGGTTGAAGCTGTCACATCTAAGCAAGAGGGTTACAGGTTTGCTTCCCAGTCTGGGGCTTTTCTAGGGGGAGTTTGCATGTTCTCCCTGTGCTTAAGTGGTTTTCTCCATGTATTTCTTCTTTCTTGCCACATACATGTTGGTTTGATTGGTGACTCCAAATTGTCCCAAAGTGAAAGTGCGAGTGTGTTTATTTTTACAAAAATAAATGCAAATCACAACAGAAGATAAATTTGAACGTAAAATTTTTAAAAAGTAAAATAAACTACGCAGGACTATGCATTACTCACCAGTCCTGTCAGATTCAAACTGTATTTTCTCATACTGAAATTATTCAAACATTTATCAACAACAGATAAAATGTCCTGATGTATCTCAATAATCCAGGTAGAAAAATCTTAAAAGAAATTTCAGTGGGTCCTCTGGACAAGTTCTTCTGTGCTGAAAAAACATTTTGTCTCTCCTCAAAGAAACTTTTACTGTCTGAGGAATTTCAGGTATACTTACAAGCAGTGCCTCCACATGGTGGACAAACAAGTTTGATAATGACAATGAAAACTGGCTTCTCGTATGCAAAAGAGGACCATCTGTCTAACTACTGGCCGTTAGTGCCCTGATTATCCCCATTATTCACAGAGGACCATCAGCCTAACAGTCAATCATAAGTGCCCTGATTATCACCATTGTTCAAAGGATCATCAGCCTAACAATTGATTGTACAGTAAGTGCCCTGATTATCCCCGTTGTTCACAGAGGACCATCAACCTATTGACTGGTCGTTAGTGCCCTGATTATCCCCATTGTTCACAGAGGACCATCAACCTATTGACTGATCGTTAGTGCCCTGATTATCCCCATTATTCACAGAGGACCATCAGCCTAACAGTCAATCGTAAGTGCCCTGATTATCACCATTGTTCAAAGGATCATCAGCCTAACAATTGATCTCACAGTAAGTGCCCTGATTATCCCCTTTGTTCACAGAGGACCATCAACCTATTGACTGATCGTTAGTGCCCTGATTATCCCCATTGTTCACAGAGGACCATCAGCCTATTGACTGATCGTTAGTGCCCTGATTATCCCCATTGTTCACAGAGGACCATCACCCTATTGACTTATCGTAAGTGCCCTGATTATCCCCGTTATTCACAGAGAACCATCAGCCTAACAGTCAATCGTAAGTGCCCTGATTATCACCAATGTTCAGAGGATCATCAGCCTAACAATTGACGTAAGTTCCCTGATTATCCCCGTTGTTCACAGAGGACCATCAGCCTTACAACTGATCGTAAGTGCCCTGATTATCCCCATTGTTCCTAGAGGACCATCAACCTATTGAGTGATCGTAAGTGCCCTGATTATCCCCATTATTCATAGAGGACCATTAGCC